TTTGCTGTTACAACCGGTATGTTTCAAGTTTATTCTTACTATTCCCTGTCTTAAAATATTAATTCTATTTTTTAAATACCATTGATTTCCTTCACATGTTTATTTAAATTTTATCTATGAATTTTCATATCTTCCTAACAAAGAATATGGAATGGTTTCCAGTTGACTCTCCAAAATTTTTCTTTTCTTCAGAATTAACTTAAAAGCCAAATTTCTGTGTGGACTTTTATGCTACCTTTGCGCGGAGGACTAATTTGGCCACCGGACCAAAATTACGAAATAGTGATGATAATTTTGAACAAAAATAAATTCCTCAATTCACTCCATGGAACTTCAAAATCTAATTTTAACTCTGATTTGGACTATAAGTCCGATTTCGGCTGAAAATTGACTTCTTCAAATCACAAACTCAATGAAAATGCAAATGCGTTGTGTTCTTCAAATCACAAACTCAATGAAACTTCAATTGCGTTGTGTTCTTGAAATCACAAAACTTTAAATCGTCAAAACTTCACATCATGAAACCTTTCACGTTAACTCTGATTTCTCGGCATTTTGAAAAAATGAAATTGATTTCCTCAATTCACAAAGTTTTGGTGATATTTAAACTGAATTTCAAACATTTATCTTAAATTCACAAAGCTTTTTTTTGTGTTACTTTAAACTTCATAGAAATTAAAAACTTTTAAAATCAGCCATTTTTTTTCCAGTTATTTTAAAATTTGAATTTTAAACTGTTTGCTAATCATCCGGAGACAAATCCCAATGTTCGAGCACCAGATGAAGGACAGATTTTTAATCCCGGGATCATCTTGATTCCACAAAGTATAATATGATGATATAGAGCAAGTGTGGTTTGAGTAAGAATGGTTTCAGATACACGGACGGTTAGATAGAATTTGCCGTTTATTTAGATTACATTCTACTAAAAGAACTAGAGCCAGGGGGGGCACTTAATACACCAGACTCCACCGGACTCCAGTCTTAGTAGGACTTTTCATTCTCTCAGAATCGCCTTATTGTATAGGTTGAACAAGTCCAGTGAGAAAAAGATTTCCTGTCTGAAAAGTGTTTCCTCTTTGTCACATTATTTTCACATTTGTTCAAATACTATTCTCCGTCCTAAAAATGGCCGGCTACTTGATTCCGAGCACATTGATCTTCTAGGGCGGCTAGCCAATCCTTGTGACAGACGCCTGTTCTGGCACATTGTGTTTGTAAAGCCAAGAATATTTTGTAACTTGAAGGGGTAGTTTTTCCTGCTAGTGGAGGGTCAGTGAAATATTTTGAGTCAGATTTAACAAGTTTTGCATTTACCCTCAAATAAAACTGATGTTTAAACTCTATTAAAGCAACAAAAAAATCGATAACAGTTTATGAAAGACAAAAACACTCAAACAGTGGAAAACTTGTGTTCAAATTCATCCTGCGAAGCAGGAAAATTATCCGAGATGTAAAACAAATTTAAATTAAAAAGAAAAACAACTTTGATTTTATTTTCATTGATTTTATCTAAACTTACATTAGTGAGAAAAAATATAATCCCCAAGACACCCAACATATTCAGTAGGATGCCAATTTTTTTTCTCTAATAAGAATTCTCGTAGTTTCAGGCCAGGAGTCGAAAATAAGTAAATTGTTTAACAAGCTAAGCGGGGAATCTACTCAAATATGGGTGTGAATTAAAAATAACTAAAATCTAAAATTAAATAAATGTCTGATTAATAAATAAAAATCAATTTTTCTTTAGAAAAAAAAAAAAATATATATATATATATATATTTGAAACAGTACAGAAGCGTATTAAGGCATAAAAAGCAAGAAACTTTATATTATAGGCCCTGATAAATTTAAAATAAAAACAAAAACAGACGCCAGTCGACCGGGTTTCGTCCCCTCTCATCAGGACTGTTAACGGGGAACACAAATTATGAAGAGAAAAAAAAAAGATTATATATATATATATATATGTATATATAATTATTCAAGAATATATGATAAGATGACATTTTGGAAAATACGTCCTCACACAGGATTCGAACTTGCATCCCCTAATTTATATGCGCACACTCCCTAAGTCTGAGACTTATTTCCTAATAGGGGACTAAGTCTTTCTCTGTCTCTTTCTCTCTGTCTGTCTCTTTCTTTTTATTTATATATATTTATATATATATATATGATAAAAATATAGATTCATAGGATACTATATTTATGGGTTAGGGAGAGAGCGTATGTAAATATAAAATTGAACACTGAGGTCAAAACTCAGTGTCGACAGTTTGTTTCATGTCTGAAGATTACGTTCAAGCAGGAAACAGACTGTCACCACTCGGTGTTTACTTCAGAATCCACTGATATATATATATATATATATATATATATACACAAACATGAGTTTAGAACTGTACTTTCTTTTTACTTCCTAGGTACGTAATATAATAATGCATAAATACTTTTTACTAAACATTAGTAAGACGAAACCTTTCCATTGATCCATACCACAAAATGAACGCAAACGGCTCCAGGCAATATTGAATTCAGTCTACAGATTTTAGGCTGATATATGTAGCACTCGTTTTGATATTACACCTCTGACACGAATATATATATATATATATATATATGTGTGTGTGTGTGTGTGTGTGTGTGTGTGTGTGTGTGGATAGATAGATAGATAGATAGATAGATAGATAGATAGATATTAATAAATACACGTATACCTATGTTTAGTGTGCGATTTAAGTTTCGCTGGTTACCCACCTCGTCGGGTACAAGATATAGCTTTTAATAATAAGCTTTATCTTGGGCCTGACGAGTTGGGTAAACAACGAAACTCAAGCTGCACACCAAACGTAGGTACTTGCGTATTTATTAATATATATTCTTAGCTTTGTATGACGACATCGATTATGTCTATATCACTTGGCAAAATTTAGTAATTATTTCTTTTGTTACCAGTGCATGCACGCCAGCACGCGCGTATATGTTTATTTCATTTACCTAACTCTCTCTCTCTCTCTATATATATATATATATATATATATATATATATATATATATATAATTTTGAATTTGGGCAGTAATTTGTTTTTCATTTAAGCTTTTCATTTAATTTTTCTTTAGTTCGCATTAGTTTTTCTTTTTCTGGACTTGAAGTGTGTAAAAATTGTCTGAATGTTTTGTATGTCCTAGCAGTTTCGTCTATTCTTTAAGCCATTATAAAAAGAATAAAAAAAATTATTGAAGCATTGATAATAAAAAAAAATGAATGAACACGATCACAATGAGCTGATAGTGTTTGACAATAAAAAAAAGGATTCCCATAAATCTATATACATACTTAATAATCTACACATTCAGTTAGAATTAAAAAATTTAAAAAAACAAACTTTAATAATGTCTTTTTCTTTGTTTCACTTAATAAATTTTGTCTTTTTGTTATCTCTTTGTTGTGTCGGAAACCTACCACCCCTCTTGAAGATGAACTTGTCGTCGTCTGTAAACAAAGACTTTAAATAGTGGCATGTCAGTCGACATGAAGAGAGATAGACAGATAAGTTCTTAGCTGAGCTAGTTATTGACTACTCAGGCGATTTCTGTACCTTTTTTACCAACCTATTAAAACCCTTTTTATTGTTACGTGTTATTTGGCGTTTGTCTCTACTAACCCCAAATCAACATCATAACACTCTTCTAGACTCTATTCTGACGTGCATTTACTGAAGCTCTCCAGGCAAGTTATGCGGGTGGAAGTAAATACATATCTCTCGCCAAGAGAAAAAAAAATGTGTTCTCCCCACGACAACACAAATCTGGATACAAAAAGGACAACACAAGGAAATATTGTGGAATTCGGTCGGTCTGTTCTACCTGCACCCACCATATTCATCTGACCCTGCACTAATCGAATATTATCTATCTTTCACATTATTCGGACTGTTGTCCTCATTTTTGTTGCCACATTTATCACAGCGTTTCAGCCGTTCTACACTCCGGCCTTCTTCAGGTGGTTGAAATGTCGAGCTGAACCCTTTATTTCGCTCATTGGGGTAGACTGTTCTAGTTATCTCCTGTTAATTCCCCTCTGCAAGTTCTCCACTGCCTTAACCAGGTATTGAACTCACAAGGCGTTTGTTAGATCCAGTGACGGAACCCAAAGAGTGTGAGTTCAATATCTGGCTAAAGCGGAGGAGAACTTGGAGAGGGGAATTAACGGGAGATAACTGATAATTGACATCCCTCAGATATGAACTGTCTAGCCCAGTGAGCGAAAATAAAGGGTTCAGTACGACATTCCAACCGCCTGAAGAAGGCCGGGTCGTACAACGGCCGAAAACATTGTGATAAACATGGCAACAAAGATGAGGACAATAGTCCGATTAATGTAAGTAGTGTACATAATACCTCATCTCAGAAATATAGACAGATAACATTTTTTTTTTTTTTGATAATTGCTGCAAAACGTTTTGTTGGAGAAAACGTTCTAATAAAAATCGGATTCAAGAGTTCGTAATCAAATTCCTTCACGTCAAAACCTACTCCGTGTCCATAAATGTTTTGGTTAAAATGTATCCGGCTCTCGTCAAGACAAAAGAAAATGGGTTCTCGTCGACGACAACACAAGCCTGGATACAACAAGGATAACACAGGAAAATATTTTGGAACTCGGTCGGTCTGTTCTATTCGCACTCACCATATTTACCTGACCTTGTACCAACCGATTATTACCTTTTTTGAATGCTGCAAAACATTTATCTTTTGACAAGCGCATTCAAGAGTTCGTAACCAAAAATTTCGGGTCAAAATCTGATGGATTTTACTCGAAGATTATTGATAAGTTGCCTGTTAATTGCCAGTATGTCACTGAAAATAATGGCGAATATGGACGTGAATAAATTGTAATTATTCTTTATTTTTTGGAAGAATTTTTTTTTTTTTTTGATAAGACTTACGGAAATTATTTATGACTCAACTTAATACTTAACTGTGTGTGCGTACATATGGGCTCCTCTCCCTCGTTCTTTCTCTCTCTTTCTCACTCTCTATTTCTTTCTCTTTCTCCCTTTCTTTCTCTCTCTCCCTCGCAGCGTCCCGTTCTCATTCTCTCTTTCGCTTTATCTCTCTCGCTTCTCTCCCTGCTATCTCTTCCACTTTCTCTCTCTTTTCGCAGTCTCTCGCCCTCATTTTCTCTTCCGCATTCTCTCTCTCCCCTCTCTCTCTCTCTCTCTCCCTTTCTCTTTCTCCTTTTCTCTCTCTCTCCCTCGCAGCGTCCCACTCTCATTCTGTCTTTCGCTTTTTCTCTTTCTCTACTCTCCCTTCTCTCTCTTCCCCTTTCTCTCTCTTTTCGCTGTCTCTCGCTCTCATTCTCTCTTTCGCATTATCTCTCTCTCCTCTCTCTCTCTCCCTTTCTCTTTCTCCTTTTCTCTCTCTCTCTCTCCATCGCAGCGTCCCACACTCATTCTCTTTCGCTTTTTCTCTTTCTCTACTCTCCCTTGTCTCTCTTCCCCTTTCTCTCTCTTTTCGTTGTCTATCGCTCTCATTCTCTCTTTCGCTTTATCTCTCTCTCTCCTCTCTCTCTCCTCTCTCTCTCCTCTCTCTCTCCCTTTCTCTTTCTCTCTCTCTCCTCCCCTTTCTCTCTCTCTCCTCCCCTTTCTCTCTCTCCCTCACTGCTCCCGCTCTCATTCTCTCTTTCGCTTTCTTTCTCTCTCCCTCTTTCTCACTCTCTTTCTCTTTCTCTGTGGGGGGTTATATGTGTGTGTGTATTTTTATGCTGGTGCATTCTTTTTCTCTCTTCATCATGTCTCCTCAAAATTTGTGTGTGTATGTGTATGCGTTTTCTCTGTCTCTGTCCTTGGGGCTGTAATTGCGTGTTTGTGTGTGAAGTTTCGAGTTTTCATCTTTGTTTTTGCGTTTACCTTATCTGTATGTGTATGCGTGTGTGTACCCGCGTGCTTGTGTGTGTAGGTGTGGATGTGTATGTTAATGTTATAGTGGAACACCCCTATTCTATAGTTAATAGACTCTCCCACCTATATTAAGTAGGAGTAGTAAGAGTCACGAGTTGCTCAGTGGGTCGGTCTGAGTTTAGTCTGAAGTCGGGCGACCGGTTTAACTCTCTGCCTTCGGACGGGGAGGAACCCGAACGAGGCTACGCCGAAGGGCGGAGTCTCTTTCGGGGAGGTAAACCGAACCTGAACCCGTTTATAGGGCATATTTTTGGCCGAGCCCAAGGGCTCGGAGATCCCACATAAACGTCTATCTTTTTAAATTTGGATTTTTAATGTAACTATAACAAGAAAAACATTTCGATTTCATTTTTGCCTTGAAAATGTCGGAAGACGAAACGCGTCGGCAAAATCTAAGATTTTTTTTTCCAATTGTCATTTGATACAAATCTGTATTGTTCACAGAATTCATCTGGGAATTTAACTATATATATATATGGTATAAGATGACAACTGGAAAAAATCTTAGTTTTTTGCCAACGCATTTCCAAATTAAAAAATTCAGATTTTTTTTTCTTTCTATGACGAAAATATAGTTAAATTCCCAGGTAGGTTCTGAGGTCATGGCAAAGAAAATTTACATTAATCAGAAAGAGGCTTACGCAGAAGCGTCTCTTTTTTTTATTATTTGGTTTTTGTAATGTAACTATAACAACAAAAACAATTCGATTTCATTTTTGATTGACAAAGTCGGAAGACGAAACGCGTCTTCAAAAACGAAGATTTTTTTCCCGCCCAATTGTCATCTTATATAATTTTTTCTTGTCCACAGAACTGATCTGGGAATTTAGCTATATATATATATATATATATATATATATATATATATATATATATAATATGTGAAAATATATAGAAAATAGGAAGGAACAAAAATTTCGCTTGAAGATGGAACGGAGACCTTTTTAATTTCAACTCAATTTAATTTAAAGGATTATATTGAAGTTTTCGGCTCTTGTTTTGAAACATGAGACCTCTTATGTAGCGATTTGGAATCATATTTTTAAATAAATAATTATATATATATATATATATATATTCATAAAAAATTGGCGATTTGAAAAATAATTCCATCTCAATGAAATCAACTTATATCCATGCAAGTTCAACATGTTTTATAATTAAGTACACTAAGTATGTTTTTATATATAGACTTGTGTATATAAATATGTGTGCGTTTTATTTAAATATTTGCACGTTGCCCATGAGTTCGTGCATTTTTTCTCTGATTTATTGTTTTGCTTCTTATATTTTCTAGAAAGAAGGCGAAGAAATTATTACATTTTTAAAACTGTTTCGCGACTATTTAATTTAATTTAATGTATTTTTTTCGTCTTCTATCGAAGAAATTTAGGCAAATTATTTTTCATATATTATTACCACTTTTCCCCGATAATAACGAAAAGAAAAAAAATCGAAAAATATCGACATCGCTTTTTCAGATCGAATTTATTCAGAAATCTAGGGCATCTATTGACGTATGTTTCGATCCGAGTTTTTAAAAAAAAAAAATCTAAATTTAAACATAAAAAAATCCGTAAGAATTTTCACTTCGTTATCGACTGACAATTTCAAAAATGTTTTTATTTCCTATCTGTCACGATTTTATCGTTCAAACATCGACAATCACATCTTTCTTTTTTTTTTTTTTTTATTCCAGCACCTACACTTAGTGAAAATAAAAAGAAATAACCGTTACAGAACATTAGACATCAATAAATAGCAAAGATTCAACTAGAGACCGGAGCCAAACAGTGATATTTGCAGGGGATAACTTCATAAAGTAAATATGTCCTTTGTATTGGTTTTACAGGCAACAGATTTGATTGCCATTAAGCAATTATATTAACTCAATATTCGGCATAATTTTTGTACAATTACTATTGACAATATCACGGTGGCGTAATGATTATATATATATATATATATATATATATATATATATATATATATATATGTATAGTATAAGATGACAACTGGAAAAAATCTTAGTTTTTTGCCAACGCATTTCCAAATAAAAAATTTGAGATTTTTTTTCTTTCAATGTCGAAAATATAGTTAAATTCCCAGGTAAGTTCTGAAGACATGACAAAGAAAATTTACATTAATCAGAAAGAGGCTTACGCAGAAGCGTCTCTTTTTTTTTAATTTGGTTTTTGTAATGTAACTATAACAACAAAACCAATTCGATTTCATTTTTGATTGACGAAGCGGCTCGGGCTGAAGAATCGGAGAGTTGTGTTCGAATTCCAGTCGAATCCATTACATTCATTTACGTGTTAATACACTTTGGAAATGAACCCTTCACTTGGAAAACGAATCTTCTTCTCTTCCCCAGTAATGGTCCTAAAGACCGGCTTCTACAGCCTTGGATACCACAGAAAGAAAAGGCAACCTACTGATAGAAAAAATCTGCCTCATCGGTCGTCTATGGCACATAAATGGCTGACCAATAATATACAGTCAATATCTTTTTGAAAAATCTGTCTCTTTTTAATTGGCACAGATTCCTGGTCTTATAATCACTTAGAATGAAGGTACCTCGGCGTGGGTTAATTGTTAGCAAGCTTGCCTCGTTAAAACGGTTAATACTGAATAGTGAGTTCGATCCTCACTGTGTGCCCCATGCTTCCGACCTTGTGCCACATCTAAGCTAGCTTGGGAAATCACTATAAACACTTAGGATGAGTTACTTTTCTGCCTGCTCGTCTTTTCAGGGCGTAGGTGATCATTGCTCTCCACAATTTCCCGGGTATTGTATCTCTAAGTAAATTTAGCTTTTTGCCATTTCTCCTAATTTCTGATGTACCAAACATCAACACGAGCTCTTTAGGTACGCCATGCGTTGTTTACTCTTGTCACTTTTCCCTTACATACTCCTGTGGGTATCACATTTTCCAAGTCGCCTTTCCTCATCATGTGTCCTAGAAATTTCGACTGTCTTTCTGATACTGATATAAATGTCCGTTTCATTTTCCTTTTTCTCTAAAGTCCAGAGAATCCTCAGCAACCTTCTCCAGAACCAGATCTCTGTTGCTTCTTCTTCATCTGTGGGGAGATCGTCCAGGATTCACTGACATATAGGAGGACTGGTATTGCTTAACAGTAGTCTTTTCTTTGTTTATAACGAAAATTTCCTGTATCTTAATATTATACTTAGTTTTTTGAAGGCATCTTTCGCTATCAATCCCAGTGTGCCGTTGCCTTTATTTGTCGTATTTTCTGACCTCTTTTAAGACACTATTTTTTTTGCTGAGAACCATTTATCCTGTCTTCTGTAATTGACGTTTAGTCCTTTCTTCTCGCTTTCTTTTACTGTCTTTTGTAGTACCTCCTGTAGTTTCCGTTCTGTATCAGCTATCAAATCTGTATCAACTGCATATTTAATGTTTTTAAGTTTGTGGTCCCCCAAAAATGAATTCTAGTCAAACTTTTAAGTCTCTCCGAATTGCTTCACCGTAAATTTTCAATAAGGATGGAGAGAAGACATCTTTTTCTTTCACCGCTTTCTATATTTGTTCATTTATTAAATTCCTTTTCTATACATATGTAGGCAGTTTGTTCCCAATTTAACTTCTAAATAATTCTAATATCCTTCCTAAATAAATCGGGTATACTTAGCATTTCAAATAGTTTATTGGGGGCGTACTTTATCTAACGTTTTCATGCTGTTAGTTCTTTTATTATTTTAGCTTATAATAAACAGCTAAACATGCAAGTTCCAAATTGGAATGCTAAAAATCAAACAGGAAGAGTGTTGTAGCATACCTACGGACGATAATGAGTATGCCCGCATTCATATAAATATAGTATATAGTAGTTAGAAATTCGTCTCCAGCTGTGCTGGTCAAACTCACTGCCTCCGGGCAGAGAAGATTCCCAAACGAGGCTCTGTCAAAGGGCAGAGTCTCGTCTTGGGAAACAGCTACACGGGGAATTTTTGGTCGAGCATACGGGCTCGGATATCACACATTAAATTCGACCTTGCGTCACATCTGACCACGTGAGGCGGTTGCTAGATATCCTGTAGTTGGAGATTCGTCTCCAGCTGTACTGGTCACACTCACTGCCTCCATGCAGACAGGATCCTCAGACGGGGCTATGTCGGACAGAGTCTCGTCTGGGGAACCAGCTACCCGACCCCGTTTTATCCGGGGTCTATGGAGAATTTTTGGCCGAGCCTACAGGATCGGATACCCTACATTAAATTCGGCCTTATGCCATATCTGACCGAATGGGGCGGTTGGTAGATATCCTGCTGTTGAAGATTCGTCTCCAGCTGTGCAGGTCAAGCTTTCTGCCTCCGAGCAGAGAGGATCCCCAAACGAGGCTCTGTCGAAGGGTAGAGTCTTGTCTCAGGAAACAGCTACCGATCCCGTTTTATACCGGGGTCTACGCGGAATTTTTGGCCGCGGATACCGATTCGGATACCCCACATAAAATTCAGCCTTGTGCCACATCTGATCACGTGAGGCTGTTGGTAGATACCCCGCAGTTGGAGATTCATTGTTGAATTCACTTGACTCACTTTACTAGTTGACTACTTCTTCTACGCGCCGCTGACGAATCTTGTATGTGCTGTTCTTGTCCTAAGTATTATCGCTTATTACCAACCTTCGTTTAAATTTTCCTAGTATACAACAAAGAGAAATGTAACTATCTGCATAGCGTAGTAAGAGACGACAAAATTAGTAACACAGAAATACGAAGAGTCTACGGAATAGAAACAGATTTATTCCAGATAGAAAATCGTTAGAAATAATGAGGTGCTGAACTTCCATGTTAAAAAATCTATTCTCCGATCCAGCAGTGAAAAAAAATGGACCTTTTCTTTACGAAGAGACCGAAATGTGGTTCC